GTCTTCCAACGTTTTAAAGTGTCGCCTACTAATAACTCTTGAAGTCTGCGTGCACCTTCACAATCCATGAAGTTGAGTAAAGACAGCCCAGGGCTTCTAAGCAATCGTTTGCTTTGCGCTAGCGCCATGTATCGGACATCTCGCCGCTCGAATTTCTTCAGCAACCACCAACGCAAGCATGACTTTTCGGAAGTCTATCCCAGGAAAATAAAGATCTATTAATTCTCATATAGTAACGTGGTTCATCAGTCAGCGACGAATATCAGTCAGCGACGAACTTTTTCCCAAATGCGGTTTGCATTAAACCACTCCAACCTTTGACGCGTAATAACTCCACAACCATTATGCCAATTTACACACAAGAAGACAAGATACTTCTAGCCATCGAGACTATCCGATCAGCCCGCGCCGCCGGCCGAAAACTAAGTATGTTGCGTGCTGCGAAGACTTACGGTGTCCCCGAAAGTTCCGTACGCCATAGAATGAACGATCGACCCCGACGCGAACGTGCCCAACCCCAACGACATAAACTTGATGCGATCGAAGAGAAAGCGCTTCTCCAATACGTTATTGAGCAGGATCAAAGAGGGTTTCCCTTGCGTCTCGCTGGTGTGGAAGATATGGCCAATCTCCTGCTACGAGCGCGTAATGGCAAGCCTGTTGGCAAGCGATGGGCCAGGCGGTTTGTGGACTCGCAGCCTGCTCTGAAAACCAAGTTTAATCGTCCATACGATTATCAAAGGGCTCTTCAAGAAGATCCTGAGGTTATATCAAAGTGGTTTGCGCTGTTACGCAATATGATGGCCAAGTATGGCATCCAAGAGGGGGACCTATATAATTTCGACGAAACTGGCTTTATGATGGGCATGATCACCGCGTCAATAGTAGTAACACGCGCTGATCGACGCGGCAAAGCAAAGTCTGTCCAGCCTGGCAACCGTGAATGGGCTACAGTCATTGAATGTATCAATTCGGGCGGGTGGTGCATCCCTCCGTTCGTGATTGTCAAAGGCGCATATCACCTTGCTAGTTGGACCACGGAATCAGGTTTTCCTAGCGACTGGGTTATCAAACCTACCAATAATGGATGGACGGATAATCAGACGGGTCTTGACTGGATTAAACACTTCGACAAACATACTAAGAACCAAACGAAGGGCGTCTACCGGATGCTTATTATCGACGGCCACGAGAGCCATTTATCGGCCGAATTCGACAATTACTGCAAGCAGAACAATATTATAACCGTCAGTATGCCTGCACATTCGTCACATCTACTACAGCCATTAGATATTGCCCTTTATTCGCCTTTAAAACGCGCATATGGTGATGAAATCAACCTATTCATCAAAGCCTCCATAAACCACATCACCAAGTCGGAGTTCTTTATTGCCTTCTACCAGGCCCACAACAAAGTTTTTAATAAAGAAAACATTAGGGCTGTTTTTCAAGGCGCTGGAATTTCACCATGGGACCCAGAGCATGTTATTGAAAAGCTTGATGTACGTTTACGGACGCCTACACCTCCTGTGGCCAACCATTCAACACCACCACCTTGGCAGTCGCAAACGCCCTCTAACCCACAACAAACCGTCTCGCAGTCCAATTTTATCAAAAGTCGGATCACTGCTCATCAAGGAAGCTCACCAACGCCAATTATTGCTGCAGTTGAGCAATTGTCAAAGGGTGCGCAGGCAATGGCGCACTCAATCACTCTTTTGACTGATCGGCTTCGTACCCTTGAGGATGCGAATATTACACTTGGTAAGCGCCGAAGGGCTAAAAGGACGCGGGTCCAGCTTGGAGGGGCGCTTAGTATAGAGGAATCTCAGGTTTTGCTTGAAGGGAAACAAAAAGGGAAACGTCCAGCACCTCAAGAGGATGAGGAGGGGGGTCCATCAAAGAGAGCCCAGTGTTACGACCCAACATACATGACCAAGAACAAGGTCTGCCCCGCAGGCTCTGCCCCGCAGGTTCGCGGCGGCTACAGCGCACCATGTATGCAGAGGACAAGTTGTTGATGATGATGATGATGTATTTAACGTCTGGTAACAAAAGGACGTGCCGGGCGCTATGCCGACATGGTCTATACTAATCTAAACTATATTACAGGCTACCGTCTTCACCTAACGTTCCTGTTCAATGACTCGGGCAAATTTCGGAAAAGAAATTGGTCTCCTCTATTATGCAGAGGACAAGGAACACTAGGCACCCTCTCACGGAACGGAAGAACTATGGACAAGTCACGTGATGATAAGAGATAAGAGATAAGGATAAGGATATGTTGGATATGAGTTATCCAAGCGATCCTTGGATAACCAGGATATGAGCTATCCAACATATCCAAACAAGGACACTGTCCAGCACAAAGGACATGTTCAGAATCAGGACTTGTATATAAGGATGGACTTGAGCCGGACTCTAGGACAGACTTCCATAGCTCTTCAGCAATTAACTTCGTATCAGGATTAACATCCGCTTTCAGCTACTACCTTGACAAGACTACGATTGATCACCGAAGCCTTACCCACCCTTACGATTGACAGACATAGTTTCCTTGAAACTATTCCACGACAATGATTACTGTTACCAGTTCCGCAGCCTCAACTTCTGCAAACTACCCCTACGACTAGCTGGCCGTAACATTCTTCCGTTCTATGGAGGGTTACTGGTATTTCTATTTCACTTATATATATAGTGCGCTATAGCCGCCGTGACCTACGGGGCAGGCCTGAATTTGGTCATGCATGTTGGGTCGTAACATCGTTATATAATAAAGTGATTATAATAATCACTTAAAGTGAGCGCTTACCGGTATCTACCTAGTAATTACTAATAAATATAGTGTTACGAGCAGGTCAAGGCAACCAACTATAGCACAAAGTAAAAGCTTCGATAATGATAACTCCGGCATCATTGTCCCTTTTTCTGCACTATATAGCTATGCGCCCACAGCGACCAACTGTAGCGGACGTAACAATAACTTAGCGAGCCTTTTGGCGTCTTAGAGGATATAGATGTTTTCAGGAACGACGTCTTGAAAGCTATCTCATTGTATCCCAGGGAGACTCAAGTTGTCGTGGATTATTGTTATTATATTGTTGTCTATGTTGTGTTCTCTCCTTTCCAGATGCAGCCAGGAATATCCCTCATCTGAGGCACCTGGATTCCTGCATTTTCATTGGTTGGTCTCACCCAGATTATTATGGGTTCAGATTGCTCGTTCTGGTCCGAGCATACCCGCCCAATTCCACTTCCGCACTTCAACACAAGTGATCTCTTCCTTTTCTAAGTATAATAAGTCATTTGCGACTGACTATAATGATCATTTTCTCTTTGCTCTTGGCCCGCGATGAATTTCCTGCAGATTCCCCCTATTAATTACAATTCACCTAGTTATAACTCAAAAGCCTAGTAGCTATAATTCATACTATGTTCTTATAAAAAACCATAGACAATAGCTATGTCTCACTTGAATTCCGACAGTTTCTCGCCCCATGTGTCAACTTTGTAGTGCCAGGGGTATGCTGAACCAATGTGAGAGTTGAAAGAGTGGCTAAAAGAGCGTCTGTCATATGTACGTACTTTCAACGCGAAGATACGTCGACTTTTCAATAGCTACCTCTGAAATCGCGGAGGAAACTCGCCTGATTTCTAGAATACTGCATTAACCTTTGAAAGATATTGATTTTCGAACCCTGTCGCTTCGTTAGGACTGATCCTATTGCGATAGAGGCATTTCTCGTTTTTCTTCAGTTATCTCGACATAGACTTAGGGGAAATTTTGCCGTGGCTCGGCGGAGATTGATTTGAATCAACTTTGCCTACTTGGTTCTTTATGAAGCTCATCGAGGAAGTTGGCTTGCTAACTTTCCCTTCGTCTTCTAGGTTTCCGAGAATCCATTTCCGAGAATACATTTCCGAGAATCTATTTCCGAGAATCCACTGGGCATTGCTTAAAATTCTGGCTGATCACCGTGCCTAATTTGACATTACGTGACCACAGATCATCACAGGGTATTACAGTCGAACATCCACTTACCCTGGCAGTAGGGCCCGATTGATCATGCTCCTTGGCGGAATGTCCTAAGCTGAGCTATTTAGTCAGAAACCAAAATACCTCAGTACACTTCACACATCAAATTTAGAAGAAATCGCACCGACACCGTTTCTCATTTACGAAACTCACCTTTCATGGTCAGACTACTTTGCGAGCCACTTGAACAATCTCTTTCCGCTTCTAGACTCTTTCCGTCAGAGACAACTGAGTGTCTCAGTAAGTACGCAACTGTGTTCCATGGATTGTGCGCTGACCAAGACGGCGAGGTTTTCACTGCAATGCTATCCGAAACTTCTCGACACTCTGTGATTCTGCGTGAAACTTGAGTAGCGCGTTTGCAAATTGTCAGTCATTTGTTTCGATCAAGCTAACTTGGATCATCGGGTAGTCTTTTTCGTATGCAAAGCGAGACTTAGCTCGGCTTCGCAACATGCGTAGACCATGGCCAATTTGTCGGAGCTTTGATTCCGAGATTGAGTTTAATATGTAGTGCAAATAATGGCGCGTTTGTCCTCGTCCTCAGGACAAGGAGCTTCTGAGCTCCGCCGGGAACAGAAATGAAATCGATATTGTGGACAGGCAGAACTTTTTGGTGTGGGCAGTTGTTAACTAAGTCACGTAACACCAGCTGAACATAGCGCTTGGCGCGGGGGCAGATGTTGCGCGGCCCAGGCCCTTTTTCTTTCCTCGCCCGTCCTTTTGTACCTGAAACTAAGCCTCAATTTGCAATGTTTCACCACGGGCCATAACTAGCAGGGTCAGTCCACGATGAGCAGAAAAGCAGCTCATTCTTTTCCACGCGGGGTGTAGAAACAGTGGACGCGCAGCATTTTCTTTTTGAGTTTGCACTTTCTGTCTGTGAAAGAGCCGTCGATTGCGGGGCACGAATTGATGCGCATACTGCGACTGCAATTATGGTTCAAGAGTAGAGCTACGTCACGGGTGCTGAAGAGGGACTCAGTCCACCAGAAGATGAAAATAAAGTCATACCGAGACTGATGTGGACGGCACGCAATGCGTTGGTTGGTATTCACAATAGTTCCAATTGGAACTGGCGGATATATTTAGTAAAAGAGTATATACGAAGAATGAGTATGGTTCTGCCCGGCGACCCGAAGCTTTTCCAGCTTATGAAATCCTGATCATCCCTTACATGTAAGCGGAATCGTAGTAAGCCGCGCTGGTGTACCTGCTGCCCAGAACGCTGGCAGGAGTAACGGCAGCGCTGAGCTTCTTGGAGAAGCTAGCACGAGTGCCCTGGGAACCAATGCCGGTGTTCTGGTACTCTCCGAAGAGGACTTTGGCGGTGCGAGGGTCGCCGTCGTTCCACTGGTGCCAGCCCGCGGAGTTGATGATGCCTGTCATGGAGGTCTTCTGGAAGACGACCTGAGCGTACTGGCCCCAGGGACGGCCGAGGTAGTAGGCCCCGTCGGCGACAGTGTTTCCGGAGGCGGCTGCTATGTTGCAGCTGTTGAAGACGTACTTGGACGTGTAGGACGAGCTGGCACGGCCGTTGGCTATTGTCTTTGTTAGCTGTCTGTCACTTGATAGCGGCTTGTCAGGAAGCTCTTACCAGTGACATAGCCGAGAGAGGCAGTCACCACACGAAGGTCACACCTCTCGAACCAGGCCATGGCCATCTGGCCAAAGATGAAGTCCGTAGCACCTTGAATGAGGCACTTGGAGTACAGCTGGTTGCCCTGCTGGGCGAGAAGGGTATCCTGGAAACCGGTGAAAGCGCTGGCATAGTATGCGCTGTCGGCGTAGGCGCTGAGAGCCACGGCCTGGCTGCCCTTGCCGTAGGTGTTGGCAACGTTGACGTTGTAGAGCTTGAAGTTCTTGGCCTTGATGCGGAGGGTGGCGCTGGCGTCGTTGTTGAGGCCGTCGGCCTGGCTCTTCTTGGCGGTGATGGTCACCTTGTTGCCGGCGTAGCTGCTCGTATCGGCCGTGTATCCGTAGATGGTGAGTTGAGCTGTCCGCGCGGGGACGAGGACCTGCTCGCTGTAGGTGCCCTGGTCAATGAAGATGCATTGCTTGGCGGAGTCGGTGGTAGAAAGGGCGTCGACGGCCTTCTGGATGGTGCTGTATTGGCCGCCAGACTTCTTGACAGTCAGGCATCCAGAGGGGGCGGAGGTGCGGCTGGCTGCCAGCGCCGCCGTGACGAAGGTAAGAGCGGTAAGAAAAGACTTCATTATGTCGAGTGAAAAGAAGAATGGAAAAGAATGTGGTCTTGGTTCGTCCCAAGGTTGGCCTAAGAGGAGATCATCCGGTCTAGCAGCTATAGAGCGGCTTGGCTCTCCTTTATGTACTTCAATCAAGAGGCCCACAAGGCTTCTAGTGCCGAGGGGTTGGATGCGAAAGTTCAAAAGTTACGAGAGATTCGCCTTCCCTCCCTCTCCGCGTGTTCTGTTAGATGCCGGGTTCCTCCAGCTGCCCGGGCATGATTGGTGGAGACGGCCATCGGCAGACATGAGTTGCTTCGTAGATTAAACCCGATTAAACAACCAATCCCGAGCTTTTGAACTTTAACAGGGATAGAGTGCTAGCTGGGGTACACCCCGTAGATGCAGTCCGCGGCCACAGGGGGCTCATTACTCTGGAACCGAGCCTTCTAGACCGGCCTCATCCTGTTGGCGGATTAATTTACCGATGACCCCATCTTGTACCGCCACGGAGGTTGACTGTGCAGTTCGCCAAAGAGTCGATGGTGGAGAGCATGAAATTTGCGGGGTGGCCAGCCCAGCAATGGGCAAAGAGGTTCAGTAATCCGAGAGCGATTTTGGCTTGGTATCGTTTCTAGAACAATGCCCACTGCGACGCAGGCGACCGACGAGTCAGACAGTCGCGATGAGCCCAGAGCGCCGTTGCATCCTCATCCCAACAGGGGAGATAGGGGTTGTGTGGATCGTCTGATGTGAAGCTGACGAAACATTTGGGCTTTTAGACTACGTACTAGAGAAAGCTTGGCCGAGCAAGAACACTAAACTTTCCATCGTGGCTTTGGCTGTCGTCAGCTATTGTCGGCATCAGGCCCAATCTATGGCCTATTTGTCCTGTGCGGCAACTCTACTAGAAGGAACAGAAAGCGCCACAGCTTTTGCTGGGTCAGGGTGTGCATCAGGTTTGCGACTCTCGCGGATGGCGGCAGGAGTTGAAATTAATGATAGTACATTCGATCTGTTGGGCCTCTACGCCTCCGAGCCACCCGAGTTTACGTTATTTATCGACCTTTTTTCTTCGTAATAGCCTATGATAATCCATTCTGGAGAGCTATCCATTAACACGAAGCTATATAGTGGCTGGGCGCTTGGCAGTTTGTTGGAAAAGTAATAGTGAACCAAACCGCACCTGACAACTGTATCAAGTGACATAGCTCAATAAGGCAATTTAGTTGAGACTTATGAGGGCCGCACTGGGCCGATGTAACTATTAGCCTCAAATGCAACTGTAGTCTCCTATGATCGTCCAAACTTCTGCTTGCTTCCTTCCACCAATAAAAAAGTCTAAGGATACGTCCAGTAATGATACAAAACGGTAAGCCGCAACGGTGATCGGAAGATGGGTTTCTATTAGATAAATTGAGACCTTCTAGGCCTGTCATTTACCAATTATTACATAACGCAGAGTACTCCTCCCATGCAACAACTGCTATTCGCGCGGCTAGCCGACAAATATCTGCATTTACACAAGCGAGTTACTCTCAGCTAAGTGTCGTGTTGATTGTCTGTGTCGTTGGACTAGGTTGAGGCCCCAGCCGCGGTTGCAAAGTCAAATCAAATCACTACAAACATGCGATCGTTGTATTGACAAAGTCGCACGTGACACAGGCGCCATCTATCTAGGGCTAACAATCAGCAAACACTAAGTGTCCATGCAGCTAGGTAGGATCTCTAATTCAAATTCAACTCTGCTCTCACAGTGACTTTGGAGAGTAAGCTTTCTCTCGATATTTTTACCCAGTAATCTCATCCAGCCAGCGAAACTTTCGAGTTGCATGCACTCTGGGGCGCAGCAGGCCCAGGGGTTGCGGGTATCTCGGCCTCAAAAATTCCACGCTATCGGGCAATCGGCAAGGCTTACAGTCTAAGAAGAGCCCAATTCCGGTCGTATTGCTCAATTGAATGTTAAAGGACTTTTAGCAAGTTTCACGTCATATTTGCACTTGAGGGTTCTCGGGCCACAAGTTCACGCGACATGGATGTTTCGTTGCCGACATCCGATTGAAATTGAGTGAGATGCAATCATTGAGCTCTGCGAGTTCAGTCAAAACGCTTTTCTGACATAGTAAATTGTAGTATATGGCGCCTAGTCCCCCCGCATGATAGGTTCTTGTGTGGCTGTTCCCTTGCGGCATCACTTAACAGGTGACCAGAAAGTCGGGTTTCGTGAACGGAACAAGATATTGTAACCTTGCATGTATGGAATTTTTAGGTGCCAATTTATCACTGTATTAGTAGCTGCGCCCGCGTGTGATTCTCACGAGCCCTGACAAGTTCAATTTGCAAACGTACCTACCTGAAATGAACGAAATCGATTTCCAATAATCCTTATTACTCACGTCTTGCCTTCATTGCTCATGTAACTGCAGTATAGAACCTTTGGTTTTTAGCTGTCTCAGGCTTATGATCAGCCAAACCCTTTACGACGATGCCAGTGCCGCAGGTGTGGGCAACATAGGAGATCCTCACAGACAGGCAAGGTCGCAGCGTCGAGAGTCTGTCTGTGCCAATGCTATTGCTCCTAATCTAACTTATCGCTGCGACCTTATGCGAAACCTCTTTGAAATGCCTGTCAATGCCCAAGTCATGCTTATTGACGAGGCGAGCTCGATAGGTATCAAATGTGAGTGGCAGGAGATATTTCGAAACGTTCAACGTCAAGAGCGCGAGTTCCAAACTTCCAAGTCTCGGTGCCTAGCTTCTCTAGCAATAAACCGTTTCCCAGATAACTTCACGCTGGATTCCAATCACTACCTAGTTGAGAAACGAGAAACAAATGAGGAACGCTCCCAAGCTCACCTTACGCGAAGATAATTCTTCCCTTTCTGTACTTCGACAGAACTCTATAGAGAGAGAATACAAATCACAAAGAATATTGGTAAATTAAAGCACAACGTAGTGCTTCTCAAAACCACGTCGAGTTGGCGAAAGGGCGGTCTGTTTAGAATTGAATAGCTGTTAGATACGTGGTGAGATGGGAGGCTGTCGGCAGGTGTTGGTATTACCCCTATCACAGGGAAGTTGGTTCGAACCGTAGGGTCCCTGGGGTGACGAAGTATCTGTCACGAAATAGGAATAGCATCAGCACTCTGTAATCAGTCCATCACGTGCGTTATCACGTGATTCTCTCATTTGTTCCTATCCCATCGGGTGCGGATGGACAGCACTTTCGACAAGGGCGGGGTAGATAGAGCCAATAAGGGCTTGCAAATCTATTAAGCTAACCAATAGGGCTGCAGTACCTCTATTTCCTATAAATCTTGGGTGTGCCAGAGGTACCAGTAATCTTTGCTGATATCCCATCGAGTGCCAGATAGCTCCATTTTTGCCAAGGGCGGGATAGAGCCAATAGTGACTTGTGAATCTATCGAGTCAACCAATAGGGTAACAGTACCTCTGTTCCCTATATATTTTGGGTATACCATAGGTACCTACAGTCCCCTTCAATACATAAAGCTACATTACAGTCCAAGCAGCCCTTCCGCGTCCTTTTCTTCTATATAAGGCTATTCCCAGATATCTCAGCTAGGGTCTGGCGGGCCCTTAATGCTTTCTTATTACTGCAGTAGGAACAAAGTGAATTAGCCCCCCTTGATCCCTTCCTGTAGTTTTCCCATAGAATAGAGGTATTCCTTTTGTCTGTAGCCCGTCTAGGCCGTGACCTCTGCCGTCCTTTTACTAATGGCCCAAACTGTTAAATAAGCTGGGCTATAAGTAACTACCGCCATTAATACTAGGTGTTGGTATCACAGGCGTGATACATTTCCTCATGAGGGTGTATCTTCGGCAACAATCACGTCGATGTCCGTGATAATTGCTGTTGTTGTTCTTCCTATTTACATTGTGGGCAGGGGTCGGTCGAAGTAGGTGGGGACGGCCTGGGTGGTTGCCCCACCTTAACCGGCCGTGGTGACTAAGCCAGTTGTCCCACTTCGCCCAGGGCAGGCGCCAGCCAGCCCACGATACCTGCTCATTGCTCCTTATCAGCCTTGCCGTTCCGACAGAATCACTAGAAGACATTATCCCATCGGGTGCTGATGGACAGCACTTTTTGCCAAGACCCCGAAATACCCACTTTTTACCCTTCACTACCCCGCATTCCAAGGGGTACTTGACAATACGTCACTTATCCCTATGCCTTTTTGCCTATAATCACCACTATTACTACCATTTTGATTGATGCTGTAATGTCTTCTGGCGATTCTGATACCTCTATTGCATCTAATGCTTCTGTTACTTCTGTACGCAGCTGTATAGTAGTTGAGGTCCACCCAGAAGACCTTGCTGCTGCCTGCAATACAGACTGTACGCCAGAGCAATGTGACGCAGCAACAGTCCGGCCCCACGAACCTCCGGCTACTGAGCATGGTCCTCCGGGCTCCTTCAGACCCTTTGACGTGCCAGTCCGGGCCCAAGAGGTACGGGGGCTTCCAGCAAGTCCCCTAGAAATATTCCTCCAATACGTCCCGCAGAGCCTCGTGGAGCAGTGGGCCCAGTGGACGAATGCGGCACCGTTATCCAAAGAGGGCCCTTGGCCTAGAACGTCAAGAGTATATAAGTGGAGGAAGACTTCAGCAGACGAGATCTACCTATTCCTAGGGATCCTATTATATATAGGAATACATAGGGAATCTAGATTATCAACCTACTGGTCAACCCAGCAGCAGAGAGAGGATCCTATCCACCTATTCACGAGGTTTATATCCAGGGACCGTTTCCAACTACTGCTCCGGCGACTACGGATATTCAACAGTGCAGAATTCGAGCCTGGCCAGCCTGACCAGCCCGTCCAGCCCAGCCAGCGCCAGCGTCAAGGCCAGGGCCGGGATCAAATGCCAGATATATATCGAAAGGTTAACCAGTGGTCAGCCCATATCCAAGTGACTGGGGACTCCTTCTATACAGCTGGTTCAGATCTTACAGTTGATGAGGCTATGGTCCGATTTGAAGGTCGATCTCTTGAGACAACAACAATTAAAAAGAAGCCTATCCCGACTGGATATAAGATCTGGATCCTTGCCCAGTCTGGCTACTGTATACGGTGGCTTTGGAACGTACACGGGAAGGGCCCATACGCATTAGTCCCCCAGGCGCAGTCTGCCCGGCCAGCTGCTGGAAAGCTGGCCCAATTGACACCAACGCAGCAGGTAGTAACTACCCTTATTTCCCTACTTCCAGCTGCAACCTACCACGTCTTCCTAGATAACCTCTTTTCCTCTATACGTCTCTTTAGTGCCCTACGGAAACAACAAGTTGGTGCTTCTGGTACCTGCCGGAAGGATAGTGGGATAGATAAGATCCTAGTTATTGAGAAAGAGACTGAAGGACGGGGTATCCCCTGGGGTCAAATACACTGTATCCCTACGTTAGATGGGGAGGTAAGCTGTCTGCCCGTCTTTCCTAGCCCAGCCCAGCCCAGCCAGCCTATCTAACTAGTGAGTAGGTCAACCAGTTCACCTGGAAGGACAATGCCCTTGTACTCTTCCTTTCAACTGTCTTCAAGAGCAGCCAAGAGGTTATTCGCAGCCGCCGCCGCCCAGCTGGGGACACTGCTGCTAAGAAGGCTGCCCGGCAGGTGTTTGGCCCAGACGTCCGCAAAGACCTTCCAGTACCTAAGGCAATCGATGAATATAACCACAAGATGAACGGGGTTGATGTTAGTGACCAGATGAGGTCCTACTATCAATAATACCACCCTATTCGCCGAGGGGGCTGGCAGTCAATTGCCTGGAATTTCCTGCTGGAAGTGGTAGTTGTGAATAGCTTTCTACTACAGCTCTGGGGCAAGCCTAGGTGGTAGAAGGTTAAAACCCACTACCAATGGCGGCAATTGCTTGCTGCCCAGCTTATCCAGCAGTTTGGCCCGTTAGCAGGCGGGCGAAGACTATCACGACCTAGACGGGCTACAGACAAGAGGAATACCTCTATTTCATGGGAGCAGCATAGAAAGGGGTCACGAAAGGTATCTTCACCTTGTACCTATTGTGGAAGTAGGAGGGCTCTATGCGAGGTATCTGGGAATACCCTCATACGGCGAAGACGGCAGACAACTCGAAAGGGCTGCTTAGACTGTGATGTACCGTTATGTATCGATAGGAATTGCTGGTACCTCTGGCATACGCAGAATATATAGGCAATAGAGGTACTATAACCCTATTGGTTAACTTAATAGAGTCTCAACACCTTATTGGCTCTACCCCGCCCTTGGCAAAAGTGCTGTCCATCAGCACCCGATGGGATAGCATCAATCAAAATGGTAATAATAGTGATGATAATAGGCAAAAGAGCATAGGGGTGAGTGACGTATTGTCAAGTACCCCTTTAAATGCGGGGTAATAGTGGGTAAACAATGGGTATTTCGTGGTCTTGGCGAAAGTGCTGTCCATCTGCACCCGATGGGATACAGCACCTTTCCTTGCTCGATTCTATTTGGGTTAATACAAGCCACTTTTACCACACTTCATATGCCCATTGCTGCGTGCCATAACTCGTGACAGTATCAATATCTCTGTATTGATTGATTCTGCGTAAGGAGTAGAAGGGAGATTCCAACCGGAGGTTGGGTGGACCGTCGAGGTGTAATTGTACCCTCTCGAGGTGGCCCCTGCTCTACGGTCGAATTGGGCTTCCAATCCGACAGGGTGTGAGCCCCTTCCAAAAGAGATCATTCGACTTTGGGGCTGGACTGCCTTACAAGACCAGCTGACGAAAGTAGAGAAAGCCAAAGACAGCCAGTCTGAAAGGATTTCAGTCGAAGTCGCATTCATTCGGACGAAAAGTTCCCTGGTTGACATTTGTGCCCAAGAACTTTTCACGAGCCTTCTAATCGGACTTAAAATGAATTACTTTGGGGCCCTCTCGGGAATGACTTCGACGATGCCAAATCCGAAGTCGTCCGCCCCGGTGGTTACACCATCATGGAAAGTTCTTTGGTCACAAGGCTGGTGGATGTGTTTGTAAATGCTAATCTGGGAACACATCCAGAGGCTATGCTTTGTGTGGTTCCAGCGTTGGGGAGTCAATTTCCTACCGACGACCTTGAGCTTGAGATTTCGAGAGACCTCACCAAAAGGGACGGTAGAAGCACGATTAATCAGCTCAAATTAGCATGCTACTTTGGAATGGGTGACTTTGAGCGCCTGAATGAGCATTCCATCGGCCCCTTTTACCGGCTTTTATGCGATGGTCTGAGATCAACGCACGCCACGAGTAAAGAGCAAGACTGGTCAGCCGACTCAAGGACATTGTTTGCAGCGTTGTACCAGCGACGTGATTTTATGAGAAAATATGTTCCTGAGGTCAAAACAATACTTGAGAACTATCACGAGTTTCTAGACCAGCTCACGTCTCTGAGTGAAGACGCTATCCAAGGCACCATTCAAGAGAAGGCCACCCAGCCTATGCTTGATATTACGAAACCGGCAGGGTCCTTGGGATCTCACACTTTGACAAACATATTGTCTTATTTTGCACAGGTAGCCTTTCATACGGCGCACCAGAGTCTGCCATTTCCAAAGTTGGCTTTCAATGTCTTGACGATGGCTGCGAGGAAAGGCTGGGTGGGTGTGCTATTCATCTTGTTAAACCTTGATGTCGATCCAAACCAGACTAGCGGAAAGAGTGCTTCGCCTCTTTCTATCTGTTTGGAACATGGTCACAAAACATTTGCGAGAGTTCTGATTAGCTTTGGAGCTTCTATTCGCGTGCCTAGAGTTCGGCGACTGGAAGAGTTGAATGAGGCTATCCGGCTTAAACGAAAGGACACAGTCGATCTCTTGTTGGCTACACTAAACATCCGACCTTATGAGTACATCGCGGCAATATCGGAGGCCTCGGTCTATCCAGGAAACAATATGTAGGGTCCGTCCACCCTTTCAATGCTCATAGAGAGTGGTGCAGACATTGGCATTAGTCCGGTATTGATCATCTCTAGATGTAAATTTAGATCCCATGACTCCAACGAGCATATGTTCCTTGTCGAGGACTCGTTCATCGATGCCTGTCTCAAGTTGAAGAATGTCATCGACAGATATGGGCATCACATGATGCTTTGGGCACTGTCTCAAGACGATGGAACACACGACCGCATCGTTCGAAAGCTGACTGAAGGTGTACGCCCTTATCAACCACTTGAGACCCTCTACAGCAGCACGGCATTGCATCTGGCTGTTCAACGTCCGGATGCCTTGAGATTCCTCCTCACAAAAGGAAAAGCATGACCTAACGTCGAAGTGTTAAACGGTGCAGGGCAAACGCCTCTATGCAAGGCCGTTTGCGAAGGCGAGTACGAATCAGCGACTTTGCTCCTGGAGAGGCAAGCTGCCCTGGAACCCATCGGTCGTGGACGGAGGCCCATGTACTGTGCCATTCATAACAAGGATGAAAGGATGATGAGACTTCTTTGGAATAAAGGTGCAAGCATCAAGTCATTGGGGAGCAAGGGCCAGCACAGGGTGGTGAAGACGACAAACCCGTTGGAGGCGGAAATTTTGCTGAATTCCTGGAAAATGACCGACAACCCAAGTTGAGTTGGCAGTTTCCCAGGAATCAGCAGATCTTGAGATTGGCGTTGTTGAAGTGCTTTGATGGGGCGTGCGATTGGGTTCTTAGGCAATCACAACTCAGGGTACCTAGGGGGGCACATAAGTCAGTAGACGATGCTGTTACGGTATCAAGAATATCAATGTCCTTGTGAAATATTGGGCGATCTCTTTGTGCCAATCCGTTGTTTGAAAAGTAGTTCATACCACACAATTGACATAGCTATCATTCGCCTAGTACGTTGACCTACGGTATATTAGGTAATGAAATTTGGACACGGCGGAGACAGGACTCTACCATTTAGTCTCGGCTTGTATTCCCGAGAAACACAAAGCACTCCCATAGCCTCCCTGCATGTAGCAGTACCTTGTGTAAATGGAAGCCAATCTCTCAGAAGCAAAGATACGTCCTCAAAACATCCACCTGGGCCTCGAGAGATGGAAGAGTCTAAGGCACATTGCGAGCCCCCTTTCCGAGTCTGTATCAAAAGGCACATCCGTACTGAATGTATGATTCACTGGATCCAACTGATATCATACTACCATGCTGCCATGGATGTCGACCTCCACTGTGAAGCGGTGGACGATTCCCCTATCGTTGAAACAATAGCCGCTGACGCGAAAACAACGGCTTGCTTTTCATTGATGAAGAGCAGCAAGCATCAGTTCCGATTTTTCCGATCTTCCCGCTCATGACATCCCAACAAACAAATCCCAACCAGGGCCAACCGGTGACCGGGTATTATGGATAAAAGCCGAAGTTCGAACGCGTCGTTGTTCGCAGTGGGTCAGGGGTGAAGGCGCCTACGAGGGGCCAAGCTTTGTGTCAAGTAACGGGCAGAGTGTGCCCAGCCGGCCGCGAGCGAGAGATGGAATGAAATGCTTGACTGGTTTGGATGGAGCATCGGGCCCTGAGACGGGCCAGGATGGTAGCGGCCAGGGCGTTTGTGAACAGTGTTCGTGGTCGGGGGAAGCCGAGGTACTCCGTAGGGTACCGATGACTCGTCCGTGCCGGTGGCCCGGTATCCCTGGCCCACCCCCGTCGCAGATATATCGGTAAAGTGGCCGTCCCTTCCGCTTGGGTCCAGGTACTCGAGCCATCTTTCCAACCGCATATGATTAGCTTACATCTCCACGGCCGAGATATTCGAGATATATCGGATAGTCTTTGGGCCCATTGTAGATCATTATGCAATGGTATGATTCGTCTTAAAAGATTGTGATCATTCGCACTAGCCCAGATTGTGCCCTTGATATCCCAAAGAAAACATGCTTAAACGAAGCAAGAGAAAAGGAAGCATAAAGTCAAAATCGTGAATTACGCAGCCTCCTACGGCTAGTGGAAACGAGTCTTGCCGTACTTGTCAATGTGAGGCTTCTCACCGGCGAGACAAGTAACCCAACCGTCCAGCTGCTGCTTGGTGTCCATGCCAGTAGGCCACTCCTCCTCCATCTCCTCTCTCTTCTTCGTCTTGGGCTTGCCATCTCTCACACGAAGCTTCTCAAAAAAGACATAGGCCGCATAAAACACGCTACTGGTGTTGCCGGACGCGGGGCCCTTCTTGTTCATGAAATTAGTGAGGGGCAATCTTGTGGTCTGACCCGGCGGGGTACGCGGCCTTGACGATGGCGCGTAGGAAGGCTGTCTTTGTGACGCCCTCCTTGAGTATGGCGCGGATCTTGGTGCGGACAATGTCGCACGTGTCCCAGACAGCGACGCTCATATCTTCGTCGCCCGGGAGTTGGATCTCTGAGAGGTCCGGGAGGGGATCCCTCTTGTCAGCAGCCTTTTTGGTTGCCTGCTTCTTGGAGCCGGCGCAGCGGCGGCGGTAGTATCACCGTCGGTAGCGGCGTCCGACTTGCGCTTGCGGGACTTGGGCGCCGGCTTCTTGGCGGGCTGGACGTGTCACGATGTCAGCGTTGGGAGTACGGAGTAGTGTCACGGCATTGGATCCCAAGGCAACAAAAAAGAAGACTTCGGTATTCATATTGTGATAAATGGCGATTGTGAGATGGCACAATGAGATGCGTTTTCTTTTGAGACTGTAAAGAAGTTCTAGGCGCTGCTGCGTACCTTTGCGGCCGTGTTTTGGCCCGCGACGCGGTGGGCGCGGCGGCAGTGGCCTCCTTGGGCGGCATTGTCAAAACGTTGCGGTTTACGGAGAGCGGACACGGGTCTGGTGAAGTGGGCGGAAGTGGTCTCCGAGTCGGGTGATGTCTTTTGGATGGGAATGATTTCGGCGCCTCTCAATGTGTCTGCAGGAAGTGGTTCTATGCCCGTGTGTGAGCTTCTCCCTGTCTACGTAAGAGACGCGTCGAGTGGGCCGGTTTCGGTAAGTGGCCGCTAGGGGCCCCCAAAAGTCACGGTAGGTGGGAGGGACGGGGCCTGGAGGGGAAGGAACATTGATGGAAGCATAACGTCATCGGATAAACAGACACGGGATGAGACATGGGAGCACGGAGATATTGATCCATAGGCACTTTAGACAGATTGACAGAAGGCAGTGAGACAGGGAAGCATCTCCTTTTTCGACCCAATATCCGTCCTATTGGAGAGGAATTAGGAAAGCATTGGAAAATAGTGTACTCGAAAAATTGGGGATGGGCAAGAAGCACGGGCCGCGTGAAACGAGGGGCTCGGAAGGCAGAAGCTGGCGATGCCGTGCAGGACACTTGGAAAGAACAATCAAAATAAATTGAACCGAGGAGAAAAGGAAGGAAGAAATGGACATTTTTGGCCCATGGCTGCCAAGAATTGATGATGGGTGGATACATCGAGGAGGGGAATGCACTGACAGAGATCCATGGATCCATCCAGCTCCATCCCTGCGGTGGTACGTACCCACGAGAACGTGGAGAGGAAGGAGGTGGAAGTGGAGGTTGCAGTTTCAGGCCGCGCGGATTGGGTCTCCAGGAAGGCGCAAGGATGGCTATCAATGATTCGACCAGCAACGATTTGAGATGAGCCCTGGCTGGGTCGTCCGAACTTGCGCCCAGCGGCAAGAACCCATGCGGCCATGCCTTCCCACGCAGCTGCCCAGCCTTGCCCCTGGAACCTCTACGGACATGACGGCCGAAAAGGGGAGGAGCCCTGCAACACTATTGGCCACTCCTTCCCGCCAAGCTCGGAAGTCCCATAGGATCCCGATGAGTCAGAGTAGGAGTCCGAGGAAAAGTCGAGAATGGAAGAAAAAAAAAAAAAAAAAGGGTTGGTCCAAGCACAGAGTTGCGGCTGCACCCTGCGGGAAGCAGGAGACGACGATCACCAACTTCCAGCTGCACCCCTGACCAGACCGAATTCATTAACCAGCAGCAATGAGCATGGCTGCATGACCAGCATTACCCCTTGGTGACACCACACGGGACACTGCACTGGCAACTGCTCTGCACACACACACACCAAAGAGACAGATTTTTTACTCGCCTGAACCCCGTCGAGCACAGATGGAGACCTTTACACAAAGTCGCGAATAGATTGCTGTCCCGAAGCCCAACGACATGCGGTCACCCAGCTTGCGTTGCTGGGACTAGGCGGCAGTTGGCCCTTTTCTTTCCACCAGTTCATCTCGATTCTCGGCTTTTCCACCATGTTCATCGTCGAGATTCTCACCGCTCGCGCAAGCGCCCACCGGCAGTTCCACTGGGCCCCGTGAAGTTCGAACCAGGAAGGCAATGGCTTCGGGGGTGAATGGCCTGTTGCTCGTTATTGATACGAAGCCTGCATGCAAGTCCGTATCGAGGTTGTGGTCAGCAAGGCTCCATGAACAGATCCGCTGCTTCGAGAACGGACACCAGGGGGCTCGACGATGTTCACAGTTCGGCTCCGTCGTCCACGGCCCAAGACTCCAGGTCGGAGTCCAGGTGGGAAGCCAGACATTCGAGATGAGTACCAAGCATCGCCAAGCCTGCCATGCTTCCTTGTTGCGAACAGCTGGATATGCAGCATGCTGGATCATCCATCAACAAGGCGTCAAACCCTAAGAATTACGGCCTGCATCCCTCCTCGCCTCACCACAGACGTACCAACCCGTTTCCTCCACTGCTATCCACCCCAGTTTGCTTCTTTACCCGCCTCGACTCGTCATCCCATCCCTCCCGGGCTTCAATCTCCAAGTCTCCAGTCAATCGGGTATCGGCTCACACTGGAACTCGTCCAGACCCGGCCAGCATTTGCCCAGTCAGCCAGTCAGCCGAGGGTCACTTGCTGCTGCAGTGTGCTGCCAGCCAAGCACTGCCCTGCCGCCAGTATCAGTCAACAGCCAGCACTGACGACCCACCTCCCTTTTCCAACGCTCAGACGAACTGCCATCCCGTCACCCTCAATCTCATTTCTGCTCCTCACTGCCACTTATGCTTACTGCAAGCCTGGCTTAGAGTTTGCTATCTGACCCAATATGATGTGGGCGCAAGTGCGCTTCGGCTCACCGACTCCGAAGTAACCTACGATTTATGTCTTTGTCAGTCCCAAGAAGGCTGGTCGTTCTCTAAGCTTAACCTTGAGTGGATCATAGATCTTCACAGCAGATGCTACTATGATTTTCGTCGTCGCTCTTATGCCACCACCTCTGAACCAACAGGTCTTACCACTCTCAACAAGCGAGCAACAAGATGCCCGCCGTAAGCACGCCGTTTTGGCGCCATAGATCTGTTTGCCGCGCCGTCAGCGGCCAACGTGCACTAGGTCACCTTTGATTCAACCCTGCACTGCGGGATGCAACAAGTCACCACCTTCATTTATGCTGAAACGGCTTGATCTCGCCATGGCTGCTCGGCATGGCCACTGCCCCCGCTTGTTTCCCGCCTTTCCACCTATGGGCACGTTTCCAGCCGCGATGGCCTCGCTTCGGCTTCTGCTTGCGGTTCTAGATCCCGGGTGAACAACGGGGGGCAGACGCCGGCCCCACGGCCCCCTTCCTTTTCGATGCAGGGTGGGCGCCTCCTGCTTCAACGTCGAACCCCCGCCTTGCCATTCCACTTCATCACAACCCGTTCGCAATCAACTTGTGCCTGGGCAACGCAACCTGGACACCGCCTGGCCATGGATTTGCACAGGGACTCCTTGGACATGGCCCCTGGCTCTGCTCCGTGAGGGACGGAGACGGGACCGCAGTGGTGCTAGCATGGCTTACATGGGATGAGAATCGGTGCTGTCTCCTGATGGGCGTGGTCGAAATTGCTTGAATCCACGCCACGCAAGTATACGCCACGACCCACGACCATGAGCGCTACTCCAGTTCATCTCGAGATATAAGGTCCTCTCCTCTTCGTTCACATCGTCTGCTTTTACTCTCTTTCTCCTCATCCAACAGGCTCATTCCCGCAGCTTTCCATTCCCACACTCTTTTCCGCTTTTCAGCACATTTCTTTCATCTGAAGACTTCATTGATTGAAGTTCACTATCTTTACGACTTGAAGTCAATATCCACTCTTTCCACCGACCGAAACTACATCCAACAACACCAAACTCACACTTTTGGAAAATCTGCAAAAATGCCTTCCTTCAAGAACTCCGCTGTCCTTTCCGCCATTGCCGGCGCCGCCTCTGTCATGGCCCACGGTCACGTCAACTACTTCACCGATGGCTCTGAGCAGTTCGCCGGTTACGACGTCACCTCGCTCGCCTACATGAGCAACCCCCCCGACGTGTAAGCAGACCCGCATCCAGCTCGGAAGAGAGAGAGAGAGAGAGAGAGCCTCATCAGCGACTTTGATATTGACAATATTGTAGCTACGGCTGGAAGAACACCGCCACCGACAACGGCTTCGTCGAACCCGCCTCCTACGCCGCTGCCGACATCATCTGCCACAAGAACTCCGAGAACGCCAAGCTCACCGCTAAGGTCGCCGCTGGGGACAAGCTCCAGATCTTCTGGAACACCTGGCCCGAGTCCCACAAGGGTCCCGTCATCGACTACCTCGCCTCCTGCGGTGATGACTGCTCTACCGTCGACAAGACCTCCCTCGAGTTCTTCAAGATCGCCGAGGCCGGTCTCGTTGACGCCTCCGCCAACAAGTGGGCTTCCGATGAGCTCATTGCTGCCAACAACTCCTGGGCTGTCACCATCCCTACTTCCCTGAAGCCTGGCAACTACGTTCTCCGCCACGAGATCATTGCCCTTCACTCCGCCGGTCAGGAGAACGGTGCCCAGAACTACCCCCAGTGCCTCAACATTGAGGTCACCGGCTCCGGCTCTGACCTTCCCGCTGGTACCAAGGGTGAGGCTCTCTACACGGCCTCCGACGCTGGTATCCTCATCTCCATCTACAACTCCCTGACCAGCTACTCCATCCCCGGCCCTGCCCTCCCTTCTGTCTTCGGTGGCTCCGGCTCCGGCTCTTCCGGCTCTGCTTCCTCCGCCGCTCCCGCCGCCACCTCCGCTGCTGCCGCCACCTCTGCCGCCGCTGCCACCACCACTGCCGCCGCTGAGGCCGTCGCCACCTCCGCCCCTGCCTCCAGCTCTGTCTCTGCCCAGCAGCCTGCCGCCACTGGCAAGCCCTCCTGCGCCGAGAAGCGCAAGCGCAGCCTGGCCCGCCGCATGGCACGCCAGCACGCTCGTGACATCGTCCGCCGCGTTTAAATTTCGCATCTCAACCGAGAGCGAGCAGCGAGACTCACTTCGAGCGAACACTGAGCCGTTTTGGTGATGGTGGTAGCTCAACCCACTAGGCTCATGAAGACATGATTGCTTTGTTGGACTTTTTCAATTGTATATACTATAACAACACTTGGTTTTCGTGTACATCACCGACGTGGACTTTGGATAAAAGACTTCTACCTTACTACCTAGCTACGTACGGCCGTGCCGGAGTATACTAGACGAATGGAAAGGGCGGACTACAATGGTCCTGCTTATACACCTCACTTGATGTTCCCTCGCCTTTGTGACTTATTTTTGCTTTGTGCCTGAAATGTGATGAAGAGTTTCCAACCGTCGCTGTTATGCTTATCCCATGACCCATTCTACATGCAGTTTAATTCGCCTTAATTGTGTTAGTAATCCGCCCAAAAGACCTGGACAAGCCGGGAAGGCGAGTAATCAGCCCGGCAGATCTGTGGGGCATTCTCTTAGGGGTGGAGAGCCGATTCCTCCGGGAGTTCGGTGCCTGTTACCTCGTCATATCGAGTACTTGAAGTTCGAGCATCAGGTGAATAATATGTTGGAAACGATGGTCATTTTTCGGTATCCATGTCTCGTCTGAACTTTGTTTCCTTGCGGGTTCCCCCTAGGTTTGGAGCGTGCTGGATGGTCCGTCCGCGCCGGTTCACCCGAAGATTTGATCGAGGAGTTGACGACTCGCTGAATCATAAGCAAAAGTGAGCTTGATTGAGGTCTCTTGATTGGGAAACATTTCGCTGGGTGATGTTTGCAACCTACTTTATGTAATTGCTATTCTCTGCTCTTCTCGACATCAAGTTGTAGGTGAGTTCCCGTTCAGATTAGTTTCAGTGCGCCTCTCATCTTATTCGCCGGCTGGCTCCTTTTTATTCTCAGTGCTCGCCTTATAGTAACTGAAGTAGTGCTGTCTTCCATAATGAGGTATGCCTATTTAGAAACTTCAAAAGATAATGTAGCAATTTGTCTCTCATGAATGCAAAGACTTCATTCTAGGTACGTTGAATTCATGAACTTGTATCACCAGTATGAGCCATTCTGTGCCGGCCGTATTTAATTTCGATCAGCGAAATGCAAGCTTCACTTTTCGGGTGGCAAGATAAATGTATTAGCACACGGCAGCATTCACACGGGGTTCTCATTCAGACGATGCTCGTCAAATAACCTACTTCTGGCTTCTCTCGGGTATTGCGAATCTACCATGCCAAGACCGGTTGAAAAATGATAAGATCCCGGGCAGTACACCACTCAACACTACGCAGACGACCAGGCAACGCCGTCAGTTGCCAGTTGTTGGGCAGCGATTATCAGGTAGGTGGTCAATGGGATGTATTGATGAGTATGAAGAACGAGTGGCTATGGGAATATCCCGACTATCTATATAGTGAGTGGAAGACCCTTTATACTGGCATATTGTCACGTAACAGGAATAGAAAGCATCTCACGAAGCGCCCGTCACGTGCTGTATCACGTGTATATCACATACATCCTGTATATAGACCTTTCTCTTTTGTCTATTTCCACTTTGATAGGTTAAGCCACTTTACCACACTCCGTATGCCCATTGCTGTGTGCCATAACTCGTGACAGTTATGAGCCCAGCTCTTAGTTAAGACCCCATACCACGATAACGCACTCATCAACACGATTCCTACGTTCTCTTCAAGATGACCGACATCTTCACATCCACTTTTGGCCAAGCCAAATTGACTGGCCGCGACAGTTGGATCAAATGGTTCCAGGCCTTCCGCCTTATGAGTGAGGGACTCGAGGTCTGGAAGTACGTCGACCCAGACGCTCCAGACTCCGACGCACTCCTCACTCCTCTCACGGCGTTCACTTCACCTTCTGACTTCGAACTATTACTCTCAACCCGTAATGAAGAAGAACAAAGAGCCTACGAGGCACGCCGTGAGGCGTTCGAAAACGACCAAAAGGACTGGGAAATCCATCGCCAGCAACTTCCAGCCCCAACTCCCAGCATGACCCCTTCGACTTCCTCGAGCACGAGCAACCCACAGGATCCAGCTGGAACTCCTTTTACGATACCAGCTATGCCACCTACTTCACGCAATCAAATCTATCCCCATACCGCACCCGTGAAGAGGATCCATACGCTCGAGAATATTCAGAAGGAATGGGAGCTCTCTGCCAAATACCATCAAATCATGGCCCCTGAACGTAACAGTGTTAATACGCACATCAAACTCCTCGCCCAGTGGTTGGGAAAATCAGTTAACGCCACTCTCTACGAACACGCATTCCAGAAAGCAACCGAGAACGGCGTCAAGTTCAGCGTACAACGAATCGTCAGACGACTGAAGCAGGAACTGGCGCCCTCCGAAGCCATGGTCAGGAGTGCGGTTCGCCAGGAGTACAGACAAGTCCTCAGCAAAGCGAGGACCGGAGTTAACCCCCAACGCTGGTACGAGGAGTGGCAGTCTGCTTACCTCCGAGCCAAAACGTACGATATCCCGGAAATTGACGGAGAGATCGCCATAATCGACTTCCTGGATGCGGTTAAGTCCAGACTCAACCCTACATGGGGCCAACGCACTTATGAGACTTTCCGCGAATCAATGGCCTTCGAAACACACACCAGGACCCTCGAGGAGATTGCGTATGCGTTTAGCCTGGTAACCCAGGAGGCGCACACCAAACGGCCTTCAGGTCAAGGAGGGGCTTACTCCACTTTCGCTGGACGCTCTGACTCAGTTGAGAACGCAAACGACAAGGGGGACGTTACTTGCCCTTGCAATCACGCACACCGCTGGAGGCCTTCGGCGTGCCGAAAGTTGGAATGGGCACTTACAAGCCGTAACACCAGTGGGTCGCCAATGCGAATGACAGACAGCCATGTGGAGGAAGTCCTTGCCGCGGTCAAATCAAACAAATGGAAATCCCTCCATGGTGAGCTCAAGAAAGTTGGTTGGCTCAAGAGCGATGGAACCCCAAAGAAGCCTCGGCAACCGAAGGGATCCTCCAACCAACCCACTGCGAGCTCAACGGCAGACCAGGATGACGGCCACATCGTCGCTGTACTCATGAAGAGTCAGGAGGCAGAGATAAACGCAATCTTCAGTACCCCTATGGGTGGCGCTCATCCGTTGTCCCAGAGCACGGTAATGGACAGCTGTGGAGCAATGCACCTAGTCAACGATAAGAGCCTACTTGAACCCGAGAGCTGTGTGCTGTCAGGCGACGATGACTACGTCGAATCAGGAACTACCACACTGCCTGTTACCGCACGCGGTACTCGTATCATGAGAGGCGTTTTGGACGGACCTAAGGGGGAGGGAACATGCGATCTGAGGCTTCAGAACGTTGCCTACGTTGAGGGATTCCATGTCAACATAGTCTCGGAGACTCTTCTAAACAGAAGCGCACTCTGGTACTGCGGTCTGGATTGCACTTTACGACAAGGAACGCTCCGCAAGAGCACTGTCAAGAAGCAGCTCATCCGAAAGAACAACCTAGTCTTCCTCGAATACAAGCTCCTCCAATCCTACCCTTCTTCCGCAGACCTCAAGCGTGTCCTGAAGAGCCCAGCTGGTATTATGCTACCAGTCAGCCGTGGAAAATTCCGTCGCTCGTACCAGCGCACCCGTGAGAGATCTGACAGCGCGCTCCTTTGGCACCTCAGGACTGGCCATCTCGGACCTAATGCCCTTCGTCAACTCCTCTACAAGACTCGTGGTGTGCGTATTAAACCCCCATCACAAGTTGAGTGTGAGGCATGTGCAATATCCGAAGCCAAGTCAGTGATCTCAAGAGGACCACCCTCAAAAAGAGCCTCACGGCCATGGTACCGTGTGCACTGGGATCTCTTCCACTTCGAGCCATCTCTGAGTGGACGACAATACATGCTCATCGCCTCAGACGAATACAGTGGACAGCTCAGGGGTTCCCTTTGAGGAACAAAACCGAGGAGGAAGTGCTATTCGCACTGCAGAGCCTCGAGGCAGCGATCCGTCGTCAGAAAGGAACCCCAATCTGCTTCTTCAGAAGCGACAATGAGACCGCCCTCCTCACCGCAAACGTCAGACGCGCTTACGAGACGTGGTGTGGTGAGCTAGGAATTGGAATAGAGCTTCCACCTCCACATACGAAGGAACCAGTAGGCAATGCCGAGAGAGCAGGTCAACTCGCAATCACCAAAGCTCGCAAGATGCGCCTTTCTGCGAACCTCCCTGAGAATCTCTGGGACGAAGCAGTGTTGGCAGCGATTTTTATCCATAATATTACCCCACGAGAGGCCAACGATGGAGATTCGCCCATCACAATGGAAATCAACTGGCAGAAGCGATATCAACGCTGGTGGCAGACGGGCCACCGAGTGCGGGATTCCGAACCGGTTACCCCGCATCTTGGCGGTCTCTACGCATATGGTTGCCGAGCATACCCTCTTCACAGGGATCGTGAGAGGGGCATACGTCGGAAGGAGTATAAAGTGCTTCCCCGCGGGCATATAGGATACCTGGTTGGATATGTGCCAGAAACGCACAACCTATACAGGGTCTGGGTGCCCGCGCTCGAGCAGGTGTTTGTTACGAGGAATGTTAGGTTCAACGAAGAAGTCTTTTATGATCCCGCACACGAGGAGCAAGCTATCGTGGGCGAACAAGCAAATCTGGTAATCCGAGAAATGCAAGAACTCTTCAACGCCAACGATGAGCTAGTTCGAGCACTCGGGGAAGTGGATCTGGACTTCGGAAATGCCAACACTCAAGACAACTCTGTGGTCGAGGATAGTATTACTGTTGGATTTTCAACTGTTCAGGACGCTGAGCAACCGACAGACGTACTCCAGGGTGCGGTTAATGATACTGACGAGGCTGACATAGCCTTGCCGGCACTACCAACCCCTGAGATGACCCCCTTGCGCGAGCTCGGGGGTGGGGGTGAGGAAGGGATGTAGCAACCGGGTCACAGACGGCTCTGCGCAGTCCACAGTCCTCCCCACGAGCGCTTACACATACCGCGGAGGTTCTTGAGCCCTTAATTCCTGACGGCTCTCAGCAGGAAGCTGAAGCACGCGGCAGACGAGGTGCCGATCACGAGGATGCAATTCCTGACGCTGAAGTCGACGTCAGCAGGGGACCCTCACAACAAACCTCTACTATTACACAAGAACAGAGCTCACAAGAACCGCCTCAGCGAGTGCCAAGTGAAGCTCCGTCAGGTCCCAGACGTTCAAACCGGGCCCGCAGACCTCCACAACGCTTCGACGGCAGCATCTTCGCGACGCTCTTACATTCGAATACAGAAGACGGCGATTACCACAACCGCCGCTGGGACTGCTTTTTCTCCACCTTCATGCCTGATCAGCAGAAAGCTATGGAGGAAAGCAGTGTAGGACATACAACACTTCACCAAGTGATAAAAGGGGCAGTCCACAGGACCTACCTGGAGCGCCCCGGCATGGGTCAAAAACCACGGCCCAACAAAGTTGACTTCTTGAGCCCACCAAAGAAGTTTAGCGATATCAAACACCTCCCACAGCAACTACAGAAGCTGCTCAGGGATGCCATGGACGCTGAGATGAAAAAGCTGAAGGATATTGGCACATGGGAGGAGGTCGACCGTGATCCCAAACAAGGGATCCCACTTCCATTGAAGTGGGTATACACCTACAAGCACGACGCTGACAACGAGGTCTACGAGGTAAAAGCACGTATATGTGTAAGGGGGGACATGCAACCACTCGACCCCTTACAAAATACGTACGCTTCAACGCTCGCCGCAAAGGCCTTCAGGCTTGTGATGGCAATAGCTGCCCAATTCGACCTTGAGGCTGACCAGTATGATGCCATCAACGCATTCCTCAACGCGCCCATCAAGAGCGAAAAACCAGTGATTGTTGAACTCCCCGAGGGATACAAGATCACTGGCAAAGTAGGCAGACTCCAACGCGCTCTGTACGGTCTGCGAGACTCGCCAATCTTGTGGTTCCAGACTTTTACCTCCATACTTCGTAGTATGGATATGATATACAGCCACGAGGAGATCTGTATCTACCAAACCGCAGACAGGAAGGTGATGCTGGTGTTCTATGTCGACGACTTCATAGTTCTATACCATCGAGACGACCGAGAGGCGGCTCAGGAGGTCGTCGACGGCATAAAAGAATACATCAACCTCAAGGAGAATGGACCGATCAATTACTTCCTCGGAGTGCGGATTATACGAGACCGTACTGCTCACAAGGTTTACCTGGTCCACGACGCATACATCGAACGGGTTGCTAAGCGCTTCGACCTCATGGATTCAATAAATCCAGCCACCCCTCTTCCGCAGTACGAGTTCAAACCAAACGAGGGGCAGGCAACGAAGGAAGAAATAAAAAGCTTCCAGGAGAAGGTCGGAAGTGTGCTTTATACAGCCATAATGATCAGACCAGACGTCGCTTTTGCTTGCTCGCAATTATCACGGTTCCTGACCAACCCAAGCGCAACCCACATCAAAGCAATCAACCAGTGTATCCGATATCTCTATGCAACAAGATATCTTGCGCTCTCCTACGGCAGCGTACCGAGTGCGCAATCATTGCTTCTAGCTGGAGATGCCAGCTTCGCAGACGACGAGGCAACACGACGATCATCACAGGGATACATAATGTTCCTTTTTGGCGGCCCAATTCAATGGAAATCAGCACGCCAAGCGACGGTTACAACGTCAACTACCGAGGCTGAGCTTCTTTGCCTTGAGGAAACCGCAAAAGAGACCATGGCTCTGAAGCGCCTTTTTATGGACATTGCCCTAGACTTAGGAGAAGTATGGTCAGTCAACTGCGATAATCAGCAGACGATTCGACTCGTCGTGGGGGAAGGGGAAAGAATAGCTACCCGGCTTCGTCATATCGATATACAGAACATGTGGCTCAGACAAGAGCACGCCAGAGGCAGCTTCGAGGTTGCTTATATGTCAACAGAAGACATGCCAGCAGATGGACTTACCAAAAACCTTTCACGAGCCAAGTTCGAACATTTCCGCACACTTCTCAACCTATACGATGCGCGAGAAATCATCATAAACAGCCAAAGTAGTCAGAAATAATCAATTTGGGCCACGCCTAGAAAAACTCAATGCCCCGCAGGGCACACGCACACAGAAACACGACTCGGGCTTGCGCCCACTATTTGAACTCCTGGTCCAAGAAGAACGAAACCGCCGGAACCATGGCGTCGGCGGCGAGGAGGGAAGAAACGCGCGCCAGGAACCGCGCCTTGCGCGCCTCGAAGTCTTCGAAACCACGAGCAGCCGGAGCAGCAGGGGGAGCCGGAGGCGGAACGACCGTCAGGTCAACGACCTGGGGGGTGGGAGCGGGCGGAGCGACAGGAGCCTGGTCGTAAACGACCACAACAGGCGCAACAGACAACACAGGCGCACTCGGGGGAGGGGCCGGGGGGCTCGCGGGGGGGGGGAACTTGTCCGCCCAGAAGCGGATGTGATCCTCGTACTCGCCCTGGTGGGCCATTATCCAGTTCACCGCATTGCGGATTTTGGAGATTTCCTTTCAAACCCGTGTCAGGAGTGCGATTTCAGTAACAGCAAAAGACAATGTACTTACGAGAGCGGAAGCGCCACCCACGATGGCCTCTGTGAGAGCCCAGGCCATTGGCCGCATGACGACGGGCACGTCGACACAATGTTCGGCCGAACGGCCGTTGAAGCAGCGCGCACACCGGCCACGACTTCCCACGAGACAAC